GATCCCCAACATAGCTTACACATCTCCTCTACATAGGGGACATCAAGTTCCTTGCCAAAATAGAAAGAATCGGTTCTTCTTGTCGAGTCATTTTCTAATGATATCACTATGACATTTAGACTCCACTACAGCATGTATATGTTGTGGGTAATATACGGAATTGCCGAATCCGCGAATTACGCAAGGTATTGACCCCTTCCTGTCAACCACGACCTTGTTTGCTTAATCTGCGGATTGGGCACGCCTCACTGCGTAATCCCTTAGAATGAGCAAGAAATGTTTTGATAATCAGATGTGTTTTTATTGCAATAAGAGAGACATGTTAAAACATGATGATACACAATTTATTATAACATTTAAAATACCCTATTTATATGAACCAGCTGATAAGCTACATCGGCTGCACGCTTGAACTTTAGCAGTCTTAATATGCAAAACCTTGTCATGTGATCTTGACAGTGTCGACAACCTTTTCGACTACTGGGAGACAAATTATGAAACACTAATCATTGTCTAAAAACACAAGCTCAACTAGGTTTCTAAATACACAAACTCACCTTGCTCCATCTATGGGATTACGCAGATTAGTTAATTACTACTACTTGCATAATGAGAGGGTTTGGGCAGAGTGTCGCCCATTCTCAGGGATTACGCAAATATCTTTCATAATTCACAGATTGGGCAGTTACGACATATAGCAATTAACGACTTAGCCTGGATGAAATTGGTTGGTCTTACAAGTGAAACAGAGGGCCTTCTTTTTCACTGCCCATGGCCAGTCACTTCCCACTTGCAATCATCAAAATGTGATTCATGAAACTGTGCTATGAATTGTTTTAGACTGTTCAACACCTTGTCAGTGGATGTCTTTTCTTGACACACAGCATAACTTCAACAACATGATGGCATGGCTCATTTCTATTACTGTCTTCACCATGCTTGTGGCATTGATGAAAAGAAACTTACCTGATTTTTAGTGATAAAAGTTTTGGAAGCTATTCTGCATAGAAAACATAATCCAAAATGATTGGACGATTTCACAGAAGAAAAATGCCATCCCAGTAAATTCTTAAAAAAACATTTAAGCTTCAGACCGCTGAAAAGAAGAAACTGTCTGCCACAAAAATTACATTGCTCTTATGGGTTTTTCACATAATGTCAACTAGTCGTCCCCTAATTATCAGACTGTGGTATAAATATTAATGTAACCAACTGTACACAGTGACAACAACATTACTATATAACATTCTTCACCAGGGCCCCGATCCACAAAGCGTTCGTAACGTTACGACCTGTCGTACTTCTATAGTTTATCATAGGCTTACGAATGTAGTAGCGATACGAACGCTTTGTGGATCGGGACCCTGGAGGATAAACACATAACAGAGTGATTGTAAATAACGTATGGGAACATTTCCTTTAATGAAATCATGAACAAAGATCTTACTTGCTGGTAGATAAGGGCTTGGTTTGAGTGTCGAGGTTCAACCTACACATACACCCAGTAACTCGTGTTTGTTGTAAGAATATGAAAGTATGGTGTACACAACTGATCTCATACTCAAACACTCAAATCATTACAAAACACACAGTGTTAGCACAGTGTAGTATATCCATCGACATGTGACTATATGACACAAAATATTTTTTTTTTACTTCTTCACTCATCACGCCATAGATCCAGGTTGAGTTATTCCATGGGTACAATGTGTGGCCATTGTTTCTGGTGTCTAGTGTCATGAGACTGCTGCAAAATTGCTAAAAGTAGCGTAAGACCTAGACTTGCACAAGTCTCTAAGGTAATAATTAATAGTTTAAATGATAATTTCTTAAAAATATCAATATCTGCTTATCTAGACCTGTCTCTTGAAAGGATAGAATTACTATTCATCCATTGGCTCTATACAGCCTTGGAGCAAGGCTAAGTAAAACCTTTGTCAAGTTCAAAACATAAAATACCAACTCTGAACCTCATATGGAGATGATCTCCTAATACTTGATGTGTAGAAATAACCTGGTCAATAAATATGAAGATAATGTAGTGTTCATATTATTGCATTGAGTGCAATCTCAAAATTTTTAAACCGAAAAATTGAACCCCCAAAAATGTTTTCTCAAATGTGTCTGCCAGGGGATTTATTAAAGTTTGGAATCCCTGCACTCACTGAGATGGTGCTAAACTTACTGAGATGGTGCCAAACTTACTGAGATGGTGCTAAACTTACTGAGATGGTGCTAAACTTACTGAGATGGTGCCAAACTTACAGAGGATCCTTGAACACTAAACATAATGAGGTATACTTGATAGGAAACATTTAATATAAGTTTAGACTTGATTTTATTCAATTTCTTGCTGCATTCAATAGATAAGAGGTTATGGAATTACACAAATAATGTTGGCAAGGATAGGCTACTGACATACTTTAAAAATATGTGAATTTTCACTGGCTCATAAACATCAATATGAAAATGACAACAATTGGTTATATTTGAATAACAGTGAATCTAAATGTAAGATGGGCGCATGGGCAACTGCTTTATGGACAAGGCCAGATCAGTGCCGACTCATTCTTCAGGAAAACATATAAAAACTTGTTTTTCACGAGAGATGAATGCTCAATGTGCATGTCTGACTGAATACTGGCGCCATACAAATGTCTGGCTAAATTTTGATTGATTTAAATGTTAGCTGTTCAATATATTCCTTCATAATTGTAGGAAACAACTGGAATTGTGGCAAAAAATCTCAAAATCTCAAGAAATATGTACAAATACAGGGAGGAAAGCAACAGGGAAATGGGTGCAAGGGTAGAGGCCACTACCATAGAGGTGTTAGGATAGGGGGCTCCAGGGTAGGGGTGCCAGGGTAGGAGGCTCCAGGGTAGTGGGCTCCAGGGTAGGGGGCTCCAGGGTAGGAGGCTCCAAGGTAGGGGTGCCAGGGTAGAGGGTGCCAAGGTAGGGGGCTCCAGGGTAGGGACTCCAGGGTAGGGGTGCCAGGGTAGGTTGCTCCAGGGTAGAGGGTGCCAGGGTAGGTGGCTCCAGGGTAGAGGGTGCCAGGGTAGGTGGCTCCAGGGTAGGGGCTCCAAGGTAGGAGGCTCCAGGGTAGGGTCTCCAGGGTAGGGGTGCCAAGGTAGGGGCTCCAGGGTAGGGGCTCCAGGGTAGAGGGTGCCAGGGTAGGTGGCTCCAGGGTAGAGGGTGCCAGAGTAGGGGGCTCCAGGGTTGAGGGTGCCAGGGTAGACGGCTCCAAGGTAGTGGTGTCAGGGTAGAGGGCTCCAGGGTAGGGGTGTCAGGGTAGGGGGCTCCCAGGTAGACGGTGCCAGGGTAGAAGGTACCAGGGTAGGGGGCTCCAGGGTTGGGGACACCAGGGTAAATGGTGCCAGGGTAGGGGTGCCAGGGTAGGAGGCTCCAGGGTAGTGGGCTCCAGGGTAGGGGGCTCCAGGGTAGGAGGCTCCAAGGTAGGGGTGCCAGGGTAGAGGGTGCCAAGGTAGGGGCTCCAGGGTAGGGGCTCCAGGGTAGAGGGTGCCAGGGTAGGTGGCTCCAGGGTAGAGGGTGCCAGGGTAGGGGGCTCCAGGGTTGAGGGTGCCAGGGTAGACGGCTCCAAGGTAGTGGTGTCAGGGTAGAGGGCGCGAGGGTAGAGGGTGCCAGGGTAGTGGGCTCCAGGGTAGAGGGTGCCTGGGTAGGGGCTCCAGGGTAGAGGGCTGCAGGGCAGGAGGCTCCAGGGTAGAAGGAGCTAGGGTATTGGGCTCCAGAGCAGAAAGTGCCAGGATAGGGGCCTACAGAGTAGTGGGCTCTAGGGAGAATGAAAACACATCTAACTATATTACCCATTTATAGGTCTTCATAGACTAAAATATTGATAATGTTAACTTGTGCTTTTCTTTTTTTCTAGTTAGAGTTAATATTTTTTCTGTCAGTTGTTGTTCATCAAGTTCCTTTAAAACAAATCGGTAAAATTGCTTGCTTCAAGAGTTAAGGTAGATTCCAATTAATGAGACATTCTTTCATCTGTTATCCCCTTCCTAAACAGCAGCATATGTACAGCCCATTACTTGTCATGGCAAAAAGGTGTGTACAAAAATATGATACATTTTTCATTAAGTACTGACCCTTTGGATTTATCCTTTGCAAAATAGTGATAGGTGAGGTGATGCCTACTTCTGTTCCACATGTGGGGCGGTGGGGTAGCCTAGTGGTTTAAGCGTTGGCTCGTCACGCCGAAGACCCCGGGTTCGAATCCCCACATGGGCACAATGTGTTAAGCCCATTTCCGGTGTCCCCCGCCGTGATATTGCTGGAATATTGCTAAAAGCGGCGTAAAACTAAAACTCAGTCAGTCAGTCAGTCAGTGTTCCACATGTTTAAGGTATTTACAGTCTGCACTTTCGTATAACACTTTGAATAGGTTTTCTGTAACGCTATCTTTATTATTTCCAAATGTGTGTATCTACATTAGGTCATTGTTTTGACTTCGAGCTATTAGGAATTAGGTTAGAATGCTAACACAATGCATGTTCGAAGTAGTCAAATACAACACATGTATATTTGGGATTACACTTTCACAGTAAAGTATAAAGTCAAGTACTTTATAGTTTAAGTCCCACTCCGGTTAAAGCTAAAATGTTTGTGCAAATGATTGGAGTAAACAAAATTTTAAAAAACTTTAAGTGCATCAACATTTTAATATGTGACCTTATCTATTTACATAGTGATAATGGACAGGCATATATCATGCATTACGCGAACACCAGCCGTGGTATACGTCCCATATCAACACGTGAACGTAGATTGTTACATAACCCCACTCTCGAGCAACGGTACGCGCAGAAACAATGTACAGTTTTACCTAGTTAGTTGACCCTTGTGTGACCTGATTTCGGGGTCTAGAACTAGGTCACGCTCAGCTGGTCTCTCGGCCCTCCTGGACAATGCAAAGTTCGTGCATCACCATCATAAGTGATCGCATCTATTTACTGATACAAATTTATACATGTTCTGATTACCTTGGGTGGCCGTCGGTTCTCTGGAGCGGCTGTAAGTTGATAAGTTCGTCCGTATCATTGACGACCACTCGGCAGTTACTTTGCGTTATCAACCCAAGGTCCATTGAACTCCCCTGAGCTTTAGTTGACAGTGACACTGGGCATTTGTACATTGCCAGTGTAAAGAAAAACAGACAGACCTTCGACATCATATTTTGGTATCCGTCGTATGTTTTGGTCTTGTGCTATACTGAAGAACAACCAACTAACTGGGAAACGCTACTAGTGACAGCTGATGTCGCCTACTAGCGGAGTGTTCTCATTGGTCGGCGGTCCTTTTGTATGAAAGCCCCGCGGAAACATCACAACCTGAGGTTAGCGCATTCCGTAACGGAGATCTCCGCAGCAAGTGGCTGGGCAAGGAAGCACAGATTTGTCTTAATGTGAACTGAGCCCCGATAAAAAGACACACATGAAATTTCAATTAAAGTAGTTATAAAGTTTTTAAAGATTAATTTTATCACAAGGTTTATGACAAAAGGTTTATGCCATAGTTTATGGATTCGTAATTCCCTTCTGGAAATAGAATGTAAAAATCCCTAGAAAAAACAGAAATAACGCGAAAAACCCAACCCAAACAGACCACACAGAGATATCTTCAAAATGAGAAAGTAAAGTAACTGTCGTTTTGTTCTTATCTATCCTTTCCCCCTTACTTTAAGCAGAGACCACACTTATCATATAGTCTTTGTTTAAATATTCCAATTAGCAATAATGGTATTTCAATAAATTCACATTTTATTATTGTTTTATTTTAGAGACTGTAGTACTCGAGAATTGCTTTTTTTTTTTTTACCATAACGCATCAAAGCAGTCTCTCGCTTTCTTTCTGTCTTGAGTGTGTGTTTATGGTTTACGCCGCTTTTAGCAATATTCCAGCAATATCACGGCGGGGGACACCAAAAATGGGCTTCACACATTGTACCGATGTGGGGAATCGAACCCGGATCTTCGGCGTGACGAGCGAACGTTTGAACCACTAAGCTACCCCACCACCCCTTCTGTCTTGAAGATTGCATGAACAGGTACAAGAACGACATCCACCTATCCTTGTCTGTGGTCACATGTAGATTCTTGTATACAAACGGTTGATCAGTACTTCGGCATGAGGTACATAACGTCTTTAAGTGGCACTTTAGAATTTGGAACGAACAATATGGACACACTTTGACAACAGTACAAAGATCTGTATTGAAACGTCGAACGAAGAAGTTATTATTCATAAAGTGTGTTTAATGATGTACATATTTTAGTTATCAATTCATCCAGATGATCACTTTTGACTATTCACCTGAGACTATATCCCCTTTGCATCTAAGTGAATATTTATATATAGCTTTATTACTGAATAGCACCTATTCGTGTATCTGTAACGGCTTTAAAAGCGGACCGTACAAGAACAAAGGTCACGGAATGTGACACGCTATAATTCAGAAAGTCATAAATCAAGACCATGACATTACACGGGGTATTTTGTGTGTTTCCTTGTTTGATGGTGAAGTTTTACGACTTTGAATCTGTTTGCATATTAACCCAGATAAGTACTTGTGAGAGTAGGTGAGGTTAAAACATACTGTCGTTGGAATATGGTCTCTGTAGTCGCCACTCTCTGCTCATACATCGTCGATATACTCGCTTCACTCGACCCTCATATAGCCAGTGTTTTTTGGTGAAGTCTTTAAGAATTTAGAATTGTGGCTTTTAACTTACGTTTAACTGTCTGGCTGACTGAGTTTGGTTTTACGCCGCTTTTAGCAATATTCCAGCAACATCACGGCGGGGGACACCAGAAATGGGCTTCACACATTGTACCCATGTGGGGATTCGAACCCGGGTCTTCGGCGTGACGAGCCAACGCTTAACCACTAGGCTACCCCACCGCCCCTTACGTTTAACGTTGTGTGCTTTGAGATAGTTTTCATGCTGGTTAAGTCGGACATTATTTGGTTAAAATACTGATTCGTGACGTTCTGGGGACCAGCACCATGTGTGTGAAAACCAACAACAGTTGTTGTGGATTCCTAACAGGTCCCAAGTACCCCCTGATTGTCTCCACGTGGGGGCTTCAATTCTTTTGTCGACGCGGTGGTTGAGTGGTTGATATCGCTGACTTTGTGTGCTGGCGATTCGGTGTCTGACTGTGAGGGTGTGGGTTCGAATCCCGAATGGGACTCTAGCCAACAAAAGTACTAGAATCCGTACGTTACTGAAAAAGTGTAATCCCAAATATGACATAGATAGATATACTTTATTTCCTCCATAGCATATGAAGATAAATACAAGGTTTACAGGTACATTACAAGTAGATCAATATGGTATTATATGGATATACACATATATGGTATTATGTGTATGGTATTAACACATGTCAGAAATTATACACATTCATAGAAATATCGTTTCCACATCTTAATAGTTCTGCATATTCGGCTTATGCACATTGCCCATGTTTCATAGTCGATGGTCTTGTGCACTGAGTAGGGCGACCCCCAAGTAGAAAACAGAGTAATATATCGTCATCATTATTCCAAAGGTTACTAAACGTTTTACATCAAGAATGTCGATTAAATCTTCAGTTAGTCTGTCTCTGTACGTTACTGAAAAAGTGTTATCCCAAATATGACATATGTTACATCACAATACTATTTACAATTTGGGTTCCATCAATGTTATTTACCACCCACTGGCCGAAATAATTAGAACAAGTAAATTGTAACGCATCTATCTATTGTTTACAATACAGATCAAATCCTTCAAGTAATTAATTATCAGAAGAGAGCTCACATCTGTAAACATATCCTTCAGGTTGACTGCTTGAATCCCTTGCAATGGCAAAGTCTAAATATGGGCAGTAAGCCTTTCATCACAAGGGATTCACATAGGTTTGTCCTCATCTGTTTTAAGCAAATATTCGAGAGTAAACCGACTGTGGCCAATGCGGCATCGTTGCAAAATGACCTCCTCATATCTGGACTCGTAACCCAAGCAGATATAACCAATTGTTGGTTTCATTTCATGGCGTTTATTTCCTCCTACCTTGTCGTCCCACCTTGTTTGGCATGAGACATCGAGTGTAACTTTTAACAGTGGGGTTGAAATCACTTTACGGGATATAAAGTGGAGAGAACTGTTTGTCAAGAGCCGCCGCCAGTATCGACCATTGTGTTATCTGTTGAGCCGACATTGCTAGGTAGCCAACTAAAGATGTGTCACATTTGTCTGTAGAAAGATGCTTGTAAAGTCTTACAAATCTCTAGAATGATAGGATGATTCGAAGTGGCAAAGCCATAAAGATAGTTTTGGCTTCAGCAGTGAAGAATGACCTATTGCCTGGGAGTCTTTAGGAGACAGTCTTGGATCCAGTGACAATGGCACTTGCAACTTTGCCGCCACCCTTGGATTCGTCTGTAAAATGTATCCATGGGTGTTATACCTGGAGCCTAACTGGTTGTATTCTTGCTGGAATGCTAAAGGATTGCTTCGGGATATTTTAAAGTTGGTGAGAGTAAGGTCTTCCTCTTGCTTCTCCACCTGCAAGGGTGAGGAAGACAGAAGTCGGTAAGGTGATATTATATTGAGATCAATTTTTGCTGGTTGAATTCTGATTCTAAGTGTTGGAACCAGGCTTGGCAGATTAAGAAACAGGTTTTTTATAGAGAGGATTGAAAACACAATTGTGAATGCACTTGGATATTCCTACGATCATGACATTTACACAAGCCATGTGCTCAGCGGATCTTAAAGAACAAATAAACTTTGTTTTTTTGTACTCTTTTAACTATTACATATGAAAGATTTGTGGTTAGTCTTATGCGGAACACCAAATTCATTCTTAAGAAACTTGTGGTTAATTAATACCGAGCGATTAAAAGTTGCCAAAAAGTCGCCTGCTTCACTCTCGCCCGCCAACGAAACCACAGACAGGTTACGTAACTCTGTCCCCAGAGCACTGCAGTGACGTCATATGAGGAAGGATGTTCAGTTAGTTGTATAGAAAGTGTGTAGCAAGCTCGTCATTTTGATGATTTTTCGACATCAACGAAGACATGCCGAATCGTTGCGTTGTCGTCAATTGCTCCTAGGGGTCTGGCGATGGTGTCGCCATGCACAGATTTCCACAGGACCCCGTGCTAAATGGGCTATGTTTGTGAGAGCGAAGCGAGCGTTGTGGAAGCCTGAAACGATATCTTACATTCCTATTGGCCATCAATCAAATACATAGTTTACTACCAGTAGAAAGTAGTTTTGATTTTGTAACTCGGTGAAAACAAACCTAAATAGCATTTATCCTCAGACTGGCGGATGTTCGCGACAGGGCGCCGCCTTTTTTGAAAATCGTAAAGTCACGGGCTAAAGTCTGTTAGAATTAATGAGATTATGGTTTGTTTTCATCAAGTTAGAAAATCAAAACTACTTTCTACTCGTAGTTAAATATGTATTTGAATCATGACCAAAAGGATTTTGCATGACACAACTTATAACTTAACGATTTCTTCCACGGAAGCGAGGTGGGGGTCGAAGTCACAATACTGCGCGATAAATTTCTTGCTACATTCACGTGGTTAAGGTCCACTTACCAGTATGTAGATACTAGTTAATGTACGTTTTTATATTTGGTCTTATAATCCTAATTAGTTTATTATCATACTTGTATGCATTTTGAAACTAAATAAAAAGCAGACGATCTGCTGATACTTATAGTGAATTTATAACAGGACTGTAATATCTAGACATTTTATAGTGTGCCAATGTGAATCATAATTCGCACACACGCCCTGGTGTATGTTGTCTGTGTAGGATAAAGCACGCCTCCGAGGTTATGGTTGGGAAAGTAAGACCCCAGACCGGAGGGTGCTTTATTATACATATAAACCGTCAATGATGGATAATTAGATGATCATGTAATGAAGCTACATAACAGTAACTGAAGCGCTAGTAAAATCAATTGAATGACAGTAGGCCTAACTATAAATAGATAATTCAACCCTCGTTCTTTGTCGGCCCGGTGGCTGTGAGGTAGAGCGTCCGCTTATGAATCTGAAATATACAGTTCTACTCCTGCTAGGGAAAACATTTGACGATACTTTTCAATTGATTTCAAACATATCATCTGAATTTGAATGTTGATGTAAATATAGAGTTAGGAAAAGTAAAACCCGGGAAATAGGTCATACTTAGGCCAAGTAAAACCTGGGAGCAAACAAAAACCTCAAATGCGGTAAAACAGATTAAAGTTA